GGGGCAGGTGTGTTGCCAGCTCCCAGCCTGAGGCTAACACTGAAGTAAGGGGGGGCAGGGTGTAGTGCATGCATCTGTTGATGATACAGAACTTTTCAATCTCCCTCCCTGCTTCTTTATACTGTCTGTAGCAAACTGACAGGCAAGCAAGCCAGCAGGGGGCTGAGAACAGTTTTTATCACACCATCAGCAAAACAATAGCTTCTGTCCATTAGTTTAAGCTCTACTTAGCAGCTTTTTCCAAGGAAGGAATTACCAGCTAACTTGTTGATTAGCTTCGAAAAGCCCTAAGTGGACACTGTTCTGTCTGTCTGTCTTAGTGAAACTGGAGACATAGACACCTCTCAATGTTAGTTGGCATACTATGTGCCTAGGGTCTATGGGGCTAGGGTTCGTGCCATGGTAGATGGGGGTGGGGAGGGAGGAATCCCTGCTTGGGCAGTGAGGGGGGGTGGGGCAGGGGGAAGCCAGGCAGACCCTGATATACCTACAGTTTCTACTGCAGCTCTGGCCAGGGAACAGGGCCAGCTCTGCTGTCTGGAGCAGACAGCCCACCCCAGAGAGCATGCTGAAAGTCTAGTTTAGCTTAAACCAGGAAGGGGTCTGCATAAACTAGTTTGACCCAAATCCATTAAGTCTGACACTACATTCAATGATGTTTATCTTAAAGCAGTTTCAGCCATTTTGAAACTGGTTTATGTGCACTGAACTTACATTCTGTTACAGGTTTAAATCAGTTTCTGATCACTTAAATCAGTTTGTGTGTAATGTCTGTCCCTAGCCTAAGTGACATTTGAAGGTGCCTAGCTGGAGATTTAAGTCAAATCGTTGCCATGGCAAGAGAAACTACATTTTGTATGGCATCTTCAGTCACGGCTTGTCTTGAGGGACTTTGAGACCCACCTCAAGGTGTCCATGGGTAGTGGGATGGAGTCATTCACAATGTGAATGTGTTTGTGGCCAGTTGCTGAAAGAAAAACCCAAGTTACTTGAAGTTCTTGGAGATGTCTTGTTCATATACACATTTGCACTTCTTGGTCATCATGCAGTTTACAATGCTGCAAATGAAAGACAGCTGAGGAGCAGGAACTGCAAAGCATGCTTTATGCCCTTGACATGGAAATGGCACAAGGGCTAGGCTAGCGTGCACTCTCAAGCTACTATTAGAGCAAAATGTCTCCAGTTAAGACATAAGCTAATCTTGGTGTATCTGTGGACAATATACCCTGATGAACTCCAGTTAATGGTAAGTAAGTTTTGTATTTTCCTCTCTCTGTTTCTATCTCATCCTTTCTCTTTAAACCAGATATTCTGGTGGACTTGATGTGTGGCAAGTTGCTACATTTGGTAGTAACTGAATTTCATCTCAGTCAGCCAGCAAGAAAAATCAAGCAAGTTGTACCTAAGTAAGGCTGTTGGTACCTCTAAAACCTTGTTTCTGCTGAGCTGAAGTAAGAGGTGGCTAGAAGATGAATACCTTGCTGAGGTCGTTTGACCCCAGTACTCTTTCCTGCCATGGCAGGGGGTCGGACTAGATGATCTTCTCAGGTCCCTTCCGACCCTAGAAACCATGAAACTATGATGAGGGCCTAGTTTTTGTTTTAAGTGCATTAGACTGGATGGTAGTTTGTTAGCTAGGGGTTGTGAATTCCACGAAGCCTCTTGTTTCTGTGAGACTTCAGTTATTATGAGTGCTCTTAACTAATAGAGGGTTGGCCTATACTATGTGTGAGCTGCTATACAGAAACTAACAACAGAATTTTATCTCCCTTTATGAACCTAAATGCCAAGTTTCTAGTTGTGTGAGTGGCCTTTTTTTGGCATGTACACACAGGTTGTGATTCTGTTACATCCACACTGTTGACACACAAATGTATATGTGTAGACTGAGAATACACATTCTGGACAAGTAAGTCACAGAAATACAGAAAGCAAGAAACACATGCTTAAGAGTGCAAGGGAGGAGAGTGGGGGGCCAGGATAGGAGAGAAGTGGGTAACCCCCAAACCCAGGAAGCAGGTGATTCAGATCTTACACTCTCCTTTTCCAGTATAAGTTTGTCCTTGCATGTCTTTGAATGTCAACAGTCAAACCACCAAACCACATTTTAAGTAGTAACAAGGCCCTCCTCTAGTACTGAAGTTGGCCTCCTAGAGCAGCGGTCTCCAAAGTGGGGTGTGCGCACCCCAGGGGGTGTGCAGGACCATCCATTGGGGTGCGGGAAGAAAATATTAGAACTTCTATTTATATTTATATAAATATATATATATATTGGGGGTGCATGCTCAAAAATTTTTACTGATAGGGGAGTGCAATCAAAAAAGTTTGGAGACCACTGTCCTAGAGGAAGATAGCTGCACCAGAAAAAAAAACATGCTATGAAATTAAAGCATGCATGGACCAGTAAGGGAGCGACTGCCCTGTGGGAGAACGAGCCCTGAGTTAAAACCTGGACCACTGCTCTTACTAAGATAGTAACTATTCTAATTTGTTCTTCTCCATCTGTTTTATCCAGTCACTAGTAAATGCAGGGGGAGTGCGCATCTTCAGAAGTGCTGGAGAAGGGGCTAATGTTACCAAACTTACCATGTGGTGACTGGATCACGTAGCTGGGAAGTGAGAGAGCTGTGATTCAACCTGCTTTCTGCCAGGGGACTACAGTGCAGGTTTCCCAAATCCTAGGCAAGTTCCATAACCCAGAGTTATATGCAGTAATCCTGGCTCTCCCCCAAAAAGGCAGGGAGGGGAGTGCTGAGCCTAGGAGGAGATGACCAGCACTCAAATACCTTGGCTTCTGCTGTTGTGATGTGGACCCCCTCCCTGCACACTGGCACCCACTGATGGCATGTAGACTCCCAAGGAGCCATCATTTTGACATCTCCTTTAAACTGGTGCACAGGATTTACTCATCCCCCTAATTGTATTACTGTTCCTCTATTAACGGGGCTAAAGCACGAGGCAGTTGTCCTTTTTCTTCTGCCTCCCAACCCTTGTGCCTGGACTTAAGCTCAGGCACAACACATGCTCAGGGTGTGTGTGAAGAGCAGGGATAATAAAAACATGACCTGTGTATAAGTGCCCAAAATGCTGCTTAGGCAGGTAAAAAGCTGCCATTTAGGCACACCAAGAGAAATAAATAGACCTCCACCCAACCTGTCCTTGGGCCTGATCAGATGCTATGGTGTTAACTAAAATGGAACAGTGGAGGCTCAGGTTATATACTAACCTGTGCAGTGATGTAGGTGTCGCTTAAAGTGAGGTAAGTGTTTACAGGAGGACAGCTTTTGCTTATAAATGACCAAGTGAGAGAAACAACTGGGTGGGGAGTTTGTGTGTGAAAAGTAAGGTAAAACAAAGCTGGGGCAATAGCGACTTCTCTGTGTGTGTGCGCAAAGGGATGGGGTGGCGGGGTGGGTGTAGTTCTAACTGTAAGCAGAGTTACAGCAACTGAGCTGGGGCAAGGCCTGCTTCCCAGGATACATGGCTGGTGATAGGATGCCAGAAAGACTGTGAAGGGAAAAGTAAGTAAAAGTGGAAGTAAGTTATATTGTGAGGATCAGGCTTTGGAGAATTGTTCCTTATTGGTTATATGTTTGTTTGGGGCAGGCAGGCACTGGTGGAGGACAGCAAGAGCATTCCTTCAGCAGCCAGGCAACTGCTATAGCCTCGTTGCCAAAGGCTTCCAGTCCCGGTTTGCTTACAAGGTGGCCTCTGGAAGGCGGAGGGACACCTTTACTGAGGCAGCTGCATTTGTGAAAATGTTTCCTCAGTCATTTTGTACATCCAATGTGGAGGACCTCCAACTGTTTCTTTAAGTTTGTAAGCGTAAGCAGTGTGCTGGTGTCTCCCACTGGAAGGCTACACCTGGGGTCAAGCAGTCAAAGGGGCAGAAGTTACAAAATGTAGCTACTTGCCTGTACCTACACTGAGGTCTTTGAGATATGAAGTTTGTTTGTACAACCTTCATTTCATTCCTGGCTTTCTGGCTTTACTTTCTTAGAATCTGGTGTAGGCAGGAAGCCTACAGTTGTGTTTGGGAGGAGTGTGTGGTATTAGTGACTCTTTTTGGGTGTTGACAGAGGGAAGGTAATGCTGAAGACTGCTTGGACTGAGGTGCATGCACCCACAGAGTGAAGATGTGTATATGGATTTCCCGTCTCAGAGGAAGTCAATATTTTTCAGCTTCTTTTTCCTTTGTTGTGCAGCTGCAGCACTGGCATCTTATCAGTACTAGTTAGATTCTTGATCTAGCATTTTGTTTCAATGGGTATGGCAGATTAATCTGTGTGAGTCATGCTGCTGCCAAGGGCTGCAGTGAATAGCGGTGTTGCAGGTGAACCTGGTGTAATGGTTTTGTCTGTCTGCCAGCCAAACATTAGTCAACCTTGAGTAAATCTGAGGAGCTAAAATGTAGTGATTGTTCCCTCATCTAAAGGTAGAGTGTGGAAAGATGAGATGGATTCACTGGCTCTTCCTTGCAAATAGTGTGTTTATATTTCTGTTCATGGTCAGTGATGGTGCAGTTAAGGGTAGCTTAGACCTTACTGGTATTGGGGGGAAGTTGTGTGTGTAAAACTTTGTAGACTTAACAATAATGCTGTAATCCAAAATGCCAAAGCCTGTAGGAATTGAGATACTTGTATGGGAATGGGGGTGGGGAACTCACCACAAAAACCTGGTATGATACAAGAGGGGCTACACCTGGTGTGCATGCCCTGTGTCAGCTGATGATTGTTTCCAAGTGTGTTAATTTTGTCCTGCCTGCTGTATGTTTGCAGAGCAAGCTTCCCAATTCTCTCTGTGCTTCAAGGAAAGGCAAATATTAACAAATTGTTTTAAGCTCTTTGCATAGATAGTTAATTTCTCCCTTTAGTACCTTTGTAGCCAACTAACTAACTGCAGGGATGTGTCTGTGAAAGTGCTGTACTGGAAAGAAGCTAGTGCAAAAGTATGTTCACCCTTTCCTGTCTTTCTTACTTCGCTTACTTCTTTTTCTAAAGTGCCACCAGGATGAATAGAATGAGCCAAGGTATGACTCTTGCTGGCTTTGCATGACCTAGCAACTGCTGTGGGTTTCCCCCTTTAGCTTTGTCTGTGTGGGAGTTTGTGATTTAAATGGGGAAAGGGGAAAAGTTTTCACTCTACAGGCAGCTTGTCTCTTCTTTCCTTTTCTTTGTGGATTGGCTTTTTTCCTTCTGAAGCAGAAGTCAGTCTGGCTGCTGCTGTTGCTGATGTGCCCCCTTCTTTATTTTTGTTGTACCTTCTCATCATGTGCTTGCTTTGCAGATGCATGTACCCTGACAGGTGTGTTGGCTGGCTTGTGACAATGGCTTTCCTCCATGCCTCTCCTTACTCCCTGTTAATCACAAACATTCCCCACTTGCCCCATATTTTTTTTCTGGGAGTTAGGGGAAAAAAATACCAGTAGCCTTTTTGGTCAGGATGACTAATTAGGAGTACAGCTCTTATCTCTCCTGTGGCCAAATGATATTCATTGGTGCTCAGGAAAAGTGCAGTGGTCTGGAGATCATACTCCCCCATTTTCTGAGTATTGCTCTTGTGTGTTTCTCTGTGTAAGTGGACCTTCTTCTCTCGGCAGGCTCAGCAAAAGGGACTCCTCAGAACTTAGCATAAATATACAGTTTGCAACACAGTTGTCATTAGGATAAATGCAATTCCACCATCCACATGAGAGGTTCCCCCTTTTTTTTTTTTTTACCAACAGACCCTTATGTATCAACAAACATTCAACATGTACAAGATAAGATAAAAATGAGTCTATCCATCACCCCACAAACTCATAAAAGACCAGGATAGACTTTGAACACACCACATAACATGGACGGTGTCTAAACAAGAGATAATGGGTTTACAGTTAAAAAAAACCCCTCACACAAATACCAGCAGCACTGTTTTACCTTCCAAAAGGAAATTACTTCAAGTGAAATATGTTGCTGCCTACCTACATTCACACATACAAAACAAAGTAGCCACAACATCTTGGGAAAAAATACACAAATGTTCTACCCTTTTTCTTCATCTAAGAAACTGTTAGTCAGCTACTTAACCAAATCAGCTACCAGCAAAGGATCCTGAGGGTAACAGAGAGAATTACTGAATGTCACAACAAATTCTCAACCACTTCAAATACACATTCATGCTAAATCCCAGCTAGTGACACCAGCTCCAACCACTGCCATCTCAACAATATTGGAAGCACCATCCCTTCCTACCCAACTGATCATTAATTAAGTTTCTAACATACTCATAGCCTAGCTTTCCAACTAACTGTTACCCAAGGATGGATAAATCGCCTCATAACCAGATAGTTATAATACTGAAGAAAAAGCACATGCAGTGAAAGCCAGGCTCATCGGCCTGACAGCCTGAAAGACCCTGACTTGAAATAATGTTAAAGTATTCTCCTACCATTGGTCATACGAAGAGCCATGCCTCCCCTGTTCATGTACAACACCTAGTAAAAGCAATGGCATTCATATGAAACACAGATCTTTGGAAAAATAAGCCCTGAATCTTATATCTCAAGGTCTGACAACAAACGGCTCGATGCACATTCTCTGCAAGTTCTGAATGGGAGGGAGGGCTCAGTAGAAGATTGAAACCTTCATGAATCAAACCCAACTACGGACCTTGTTACACAGTAATTTTGGGCAGCTTCTGGAGCTTTTAACCTCTGGATTATCGGCATATTAACACCTTAAAGTGATTTTAAGCACTCATTACGTGGCTCAAAGTTGCACCACTCCAGGGCAGGATTAACTCTGATCCGCACTACCCAGCTTCTGGTCCATTAAGGTGTGGCCACTCCCCACAGATGTGCCACCCAAATTGAAGTCCTCCAGTATCCCAAGATCTCCCATACCCCCACCCACACAGCAGGGATAGAAGCCTGTCCTGGCTCGCCAGCCCTCTAGTGGTAACTCACAGCTACAGCTCCTAGTCCTGCCCCAGCTCACCAGGCCTCTAGTGGCAAGCCACACCTGTGCAAGTAGGGGACAGGCAGAGAATGCTCCTAGACTAAGGGTGTGACTTCTCCAAACTCCAAGCTAGCACTAACACTGATCAACATTTGTGCGGCTCACAGTGTTAGGTGTAATGAGACCCTGTATCTCACATCTAGTAACATTATCCTTGTTCCATTTCAAGAAATTGCTCAGCAGCCATGACCACCCCACACATGGAGAACAGCTTTCACTTAAAAGGCCACCTGAGCTCCATAGCCCAGGCCTTTACTATCCGCTATCCTCATAATTCCTGTTAAAACTGCACATAAATAAATGAATAAATAAAAAAACAAAACAAATAAACAAAAACCACACCTAATGCAACATTTGGCCAGAATGACAGCCTTAATGATAAGGGGCAACTTAAAGCCATGTCAACCAAATTCCTGTAGCACAAGACCTAAATAAGCTATACTAATATCTGTCAGCACCTATACCAAAAAATACCTCACCCATTCAACCATCACACCCCAGCCTGAATTATGAAAAAGAACTTACCTATACTATGCCACGCTAACTAACTACTGCTGGGGCAAGTAGGAATTTTAAAAATAGCATTAGTTAATTACTTGGAGGCAGAAACCATAGCCCACATGATGGACAAACACTGCAACTAAAATATATCTGGCCATAATGCTGCCAGCTGCTTTAAGAAGCAGTGGTAGCAGTGGCCAAGTCCTAGCATTAGCCCACCTCCGATCCTAACTGGATCATTCTATGCCCATCACTGCAAAACTGTTGCTGACTACTAATGAGATGGCCCTCCTGGTTCCTACCAACGTTAAAGTTCTGTCTGGTCCACAGGCAAACTAAAGGTATAAGACCCCCCTCTTGTCCCCAGACAAACGGCATTGGCCCTAAATCTGGAGATTTATTGAGGAAGAGCCCACATTCCACCAGCCCTTCAAGCTACCAAAAAACACCATACAGCTCCTCCCTCAAAAAAATCACACTGCTGACATGTTCAGATCATCGACTACAGATACCTGGGCAGTTCCATAACTAAGGCAGGACAAGCCACCAGGGCACCGGTCCTGGGTATTGATTTAGAGAGGATGCTAGAACAAGGCACTTGTGTGGCAGTGGTAGTAGCAGCAGGAAAGTAAGGTGTCTATGCTGTAGCCAGGCTGTTTTGACATCTCACATTAAGCTGGTGATCAGGAAAGAGTACAATATTAGCATCATTAGAGTGGGGCACATGCCCCAGAACCAATTTAGAGGGGTAGCAGAAATATGCCTCAGCGGTTTGCATCCTTGCTCTCTGGTGCTCAGTGCTCTCCACCTACTCTCCAGTGCTCAACAGCATTGCTGCCTAAGGCACCAAAATCCCTAGTTGCCCCTAGAAAGACAGCTTCCCCTGTCATTTAGCTTTTGAGACGACAGCTCCTTGTATCCATCTCTCCAGTTTCACAGGAATGTAAACAGTCAGGGTAACTAAAGAAATAATGAGCCACTGCAAAATAAAGGGTTCTAAGCCTATCAAAGCAACTGTAAGCATTAGGAACTCCTTAGCAAATGCACATTAAAAAAGTGCCTACCTCCCGTCTCACCCTACCTGGTGATCGCAGTTGAAGTACATCAGTTCCCAAAAAGCAGACTTTTTTCCATTATCTCAAGACTATGGGAACTGCCAGTTCCATTGTCTTATCACTACCAATCCACCTGTGAAGTGTGCTGCTTGGAACTTGGAAGCTATCCCATATGCGCCCTCCAAAAGGAGGCCAGCCATCAATAGGATTCAAACAGATTATTCTCACCTCCCCCAAACAAAGCAAAATGGGAAGCAATTTCAGGAGCTAGGAGAAAACATACAACTACAAAAAATTACCACCACTATACACCAATTCAAACATTAGGGGAGCTACACCAGAGACCAGAGGACTAAAGAGCCAGTCTGAATTTCAAGATAATAGCCAAACCAGTCAGCTTGCTCAAACCTTACTGAAATGGCAAAATAGACAGATAAATCAATACAACGTTATCGCTACCTCAGACTGATGCACCGACCCCTTTGACGCCAGTGAAACCAGGCTTGATGGGGTCAATGCACCCTCTCACCTATATTCAATGAGTTCCAGAAAAAGCCTCAGACTCCAAGAAACTTATCATCCAGATACTCATGTTACTGAAATTGAATGTGCCTCCCCACACCACACTGCAGGCTAATAAATGTGCATGCACGCATACTCGCGTGCGCGCACGCGCGCGCGCACACACACACAATATCACTAATAGCTGTGGTTTTTGGTCAACTATAATTCTGGGACTTTATGCTGCATTTTCTGCCTCCCCTAGCAGAGCTGAATCTCACTAAAGACTCCAGGGCAGTATTTGATTAGACAGAACTGTAGTCATGTAACACATTCAGTTATGTGTATATGATCCAGGCTGTTACAGAAGGCAAACTACAGTAGTTTGGGTGGCAAAGATGCCTAAAAATGACATAAGCGCCACTTATGCATCTTAGCAGTGAAACAGAATTCTGTGCTGAAAGAACAGATTTTTAAAAGTGCATTTAGGAAAGACAGAGTGCTTGGTGTCAGGTAAGCAAAAAGCTTCTCTGGCCAAGCAGGCCTAAACCAAGGCAAAATTCCTAGTCTCGGACCCCAAAACAAAACCAACTAACAACACCCCCCCCCCCCCCCACCAC